GTATACAAGGAGATGAATAACCTGGTTCTTCTGTGTTCTTTGAAAACAACATCACGAACATGATCAAAACCAGGATAAGGCTCCAAACAGATGCTAGTGTGCACGAAAAGACAGCGAGTGGTTACTCGCAGGAAAATGTAACACACACTGTTGAAGCAGTGTGTAGCAAATAATCGGTGCTTTTGTTTTACTTGTGAGGACTGCCTCAAAAAAAGTTTTCACTTCTGAGCTGACCTTTCCAGGTGATTCTGACTCCTGAGTTTCCATCAGGTCAGTTCACTTTCACACTGAACACGTGCGTATGTATGTCTGTCTGTGCTTAACTCAGAAGTGGGTATTTGTGATTTTGCACAATAATATCATAAAATATCATAATATCATAAAAATAGGCAAAGCCGTACCTGGAGTGCTGACTCAAGATGTCATAATTAGGGGATGGGGATGCAAATCTGCCCCCTCGGCAGAAACTAAGTGGTGTTTAAAAATTTAGTGTGTACTTTATGCATGGGTCTGGAACCTTGGCAAACTCCTCCTCTTTCTCATCTTTTCTTCCATTGTCTACTTCATTTCTCTCTCCTCCTCCTACTCCTCTTGTTCCTTCCTTATCCATCACATCTCTGCTCTCGTCTTTAGGCTACATCCTCTAGAAAAGCACTGGTCTGGGATCTGATTAGCACTCTGTGAAGCTGATACATGAACTTTGAGAGCAGATAGCAAAACAGAGCAGAGTGGATTGCAGTGGTATGCCACATCAGATTACTGTGCACCTGTTAAAATAAATAAATAAATAAAATTTGTCAGTGGGTTTAAGTCTCCTATTGAGCATGCATCCACATTTCCCTCCCCTGCATCTTTTCTTCAGTGTCTTAGTCCCACCCACGTAGGATTTGAGTAAAAGATGCAAGGAGAGAGGAATCAGCAAAACATTATAATTTATATGTCATCCTTTTCTGCGATCCTTCATCTGAGGCATTCAGTCACCAACTGATTTCTGATGGAGGGTTGTTTGAGTCCACAAAAGACTTCATTGAAGGATGCTCTCGTGTATCCTCATTCATAGTTCCTCCTGGCAGCCTCCTCACTCCTCAGAGCACGTATAAGTGTATTGGGACATCGTCAATCATCACGAGTGGTATGACTTACAGGTTGGGTGAGGATCAAGGAGCGAGGAACAATCATATAAGAGACTTAACCCATATGTTGTTTGTGCCGTCAGGTTAATATGTCCAACAGTAACGTGTTACTGGCTGTAGTCCAGTAATTATGACATGAGTAAAGGAGGATGTTCAGTGATGTGCTATAGAGCTACAAAGTTTACATCAGGAGGAGGAGTGGACAGGTCAGAAAACACAGCTTTCTCACAGGAGAACAGTGTTTGATTCCTGCATGAAACACTATGGTTTTTAATCCATGACAACCTTAATGGCAAGTGTTACTGTAACCATGACGATGTGGGATATTTTAACCCAAAACTATGAGTTTGAGCTAAACCTGTGCTGTGATGGATCCATAATTGTACCTGTGTGTTTATTATTAGTTCCAGGACAATGAAGGTTTGATAAGCATGCATGGGTGTTACATTATTCCCAGTGTTTATTATTAGTTCTGGGACAATGAAGGTTTGGTAAGCATGCATGGGTGTTACATTATTCCAAGGTAGGGACAAGAGACGTATATTGTTTGGGGAATTTTTGGATTACTTCACCATTAGGCCTCTGCATAAATCAACAGTGCTGAGTAGGAAAACCACACACACATTCAAAGAGCGATACAGTGTAACTGATGAGCATGTTGCAAGAAACTTTGTAGGAAAATTGCAGATTGTGTGAAGTCAGCGAAACTGGTTGTATTCCCAAAGCTGAGGAAATACATCATCAAGAACAACTTTAGCCAAAGTTATTTTACCTAGTCCAACAAAACAGTTTGAGAACTTTACAATGTGCCTTTTTTTAAATGTCACATGAGCCTCTATTAGCAATTTATAACCTTTACTAGAGAAGTTAAAGCTATTATGTTGATGAAGGTAACAGGATTATTGATTCATGAAGGCTTCCTGGCCATAGGGAGAGTTGAATATGAAACCTCATTAACTGTCACACACTTAATACATTACTTTGATCAGCAGTTTTCTAAGTGATTTTAAGGGTATTACATGTTTTTATTGTTGGATGGAGGCTCAAACCCACAGCAATGTGAGGTAATGCCTATAACCCAACTCAGATTATACTCTTAGTATAACCTGAGTTGTGTAGCAGTGCAACCATTACTACAGAATGGAGCACGCCTCAGTCACTTAGCATGGAAGTGATATTTAAAAGAGATGATTAAAAGTAAAACTGACTTTTTTTCTTTTTACGTTTTTTTGTTGGAACACCTGATTATTGCATGGAACTGCGAGTGCAGAGGGAAGAGAGAAAATGTAGTAGATGGAGTGAAGCTACTTAGGGCATGAGGGCAGAGAAAAGAAGATGTGAATGAAGGAAAGTCTTGCAGGACCAGAGCAGAAACATGAAGGAGGAGAAGGACTGTGAAAGAGGAGATGGACAGAGAGGAGGAGGAGGAGGAGAATGAATGAGGAATAGCAACAGTGTGAGAAGTAAGGAAGAGAAGAGTGAAACACCAGAGATGGGAGCTGGCCTTCCTGTTGTGCCGCTCCAGTGGAGTTTGTCCAGTAT